TTTTTTAGCCAGCTACGGTATCTGGAGCTATGCTCCGATTAATCCGTTAGTCGATAAAGGTCGCACACCTGACTTAAGCGACAAAAATTTTCTGCATCCACAAAGACTCGAACCCAAGACCTTGCTTAAGCGACATCAAGTTGCTTACCACTTGAGCCAACCCATGTTGGTCCTTGTCCCTTTACAATTATAGTTGTTTTAATAAAAAATAATTTTGTACCCTCAATCAAAGGGACATCAAGATCATGGTTTTATCCATGAAAAATAAGTGGTTATGTTGACAATTTAACCACCCTATACAATTAGATAATTATACTCTTTGACACTTGATGGATATAAAATATTATAAGATGGTTCTTCATAAATTAAACATCTTTAGTTTTAGATTGATTTTAACTTCGCTCTAACTTGCAATAATTGTTATCAGACTTAGGGGTGTATGTTTGAGATTTCGATTGATATTTCGAGATTTCTTAAAATTTGAGACTTATGCGTATTCATTTTGAAATTTTTAAAAAGTTTAGAAATCATGGTTTATTTAATTGAAGAATTTCTTAAACTCATCATATAATTTGGTATTTTATTTCATTTGACTTATCGTATAATTTCACTTTATTATTATTATATAAACTCTTCAACATACATCATAAATTATCAAATTATGAGTTTCAAATTCACTTATATATTATCGGGCGAGAAGTTGTAATTTCAGTTAAATTTACCAAACTCACTCTTTCTTCAATTGATTACTTATCTAATATAACTAAAGATTTGTATAATTTAAAAACAAGATAAAACTTTAAAAAATCGAGACAAATAATTTATTCAAACTTGACCTATATGTTTTTCTTTTTAAAAAAACATATATATTTTATTTTAGCTTCATCATTATTTTTTAAAATATTGTTCTATTTAGAGTGGGAACTTAAAATTGGCTACCGACATGAAAAATAAAGTTTATGTTATACAATGTGTGTTTGAATTACAACGGGAACCTATGAACTGACTGAAGTGTTCAGTTCGTACAAAAAGAACTAAAAGAAGAAATAAAAAATACAACTCGAATGCGGACAGATTAGAGCCGAGGCGATTGAAATCTTTCCGCAAGACAAATACGCCCCGTATAGTGCTGTGCGTAATGCCCCCAAAGATACAACGGCTAAACACTCGGAAGCTGTAGCACACCAGCCTTCAGAGTTCCGACGAAAGGCACTGAAGTCGAGAACTGAGCACTTTTGATATGATGCGTGAGGCTTTGATAGTATGCAGAAGCATGCAATGTTGCGTATTTTCCTCTGCAATTCTAAGTCCTATTTATAGGACTTCCACCTTGAGGGAGAACAAGGAGTTACATCAGCCACTAAAGGCTGAGATAAATAGGCACCATTAACCTGAAAACGTTTCAGGTATTACTCCACCATTAACCTGGTGTTACTA